AAAGTGGAGGAGGAGGAAGTGAAGGAGGAAAAGGAAGAAAAGCAGAGGATGCGGGGACAAGGCGGCAGAGTCCTCCTAGCCTGGTCAGCTCTTGAAGCTGCCACCTCGCTGCCTTGGGCACAGGGTCCCAGAGGACTCAGGGATACCCTCACCGTGGCACCACCACTGCACCCCTCTGGGGAGCTGAGCTCCTAGACCCTGAGGCTGGGGAGCCCCAGAGAGGAGCTGGGGGCCACGAGGAGGACGGTGTGGAGGGTGGGGAGCGCAGGTGGACCTGCTCAGCACACGGCCTGTGGGCTTGGTGATGTTGGACTTGTGCTCATGAGCAGGAGCGGGGAGAGAGGCAGGAAGAGGCACAGAGCGGGTCTCCGCTCCCCACATGGGTTTCCCCCAGCAGCCCCCCAGCACCCAACCCCAAGCCTGTGCTCAGAGTCCACAGGGCTGGGCTGGGCAGAGCAGGAACAGAGAGCAGGCTGTCAAGGGCCTGTGAAGGGCATAGAAGCCCACGGGTCTGGGGACCACGGTGAGGACTCTGTCCCCTCTGTCCCACCCTCAGGGGCAGAGCCGCCACCGGTTAGAGCCCCAGCAGGTGCAGCTGCAGAAGGGGCGCTAGAGAGCGTCATTATTTTGAGGCAGTGGGACCTGCACCTGGGGCCTTTGTCCGTGAGCTACATCCCTAGTCCTCTTCCTCCTTCATTTACGATTTTTTAAACTTTGACACAGGGTCTCACTTAGTGACTAAGTTGCCCACGCTGCCTGGAGTTGTGATCCTCCCACCTCAGCCTCCCAGAGTGCTGGATGGCAGGCCTGTGCCACCACCCAGGAATGATTTCCCATCATCAACGTTTTTAAGAGGATGAATCAGGTTTTCCAATATCATCTGGAGTTTTAAAAAGTATAGAAACGTCTGTGGGCTGGGGGTTAACTCAGTGGCATAAGCACCTGCCTGGCAAGTATGAGGTTGTGAGTTCAATCCCTGGTAACCACCCCCCCCCCCAAAAAATAGAAACATCTGTATCTGCTTGGACAAAAAGGTGGGTGAGTTCTAACAGCGCCTAGCTCTCTACGGCCAGATAGGAGCGGATTCTTTATCTCGTTTCTAGTTTCTCACTTCACATTCCGAAATGAATCCACTTGGAACCAACAGTTTTTTCTACAATCAAATAAAAAAACAAACGAAGTGTTTTCAGAAGGTGACAAGGCAGCTTCCCTGCCAGCCAGAGCCCCAGGCTGAGCAGCAGGAGCAGGAGGGGTTGGGGCCAGAGTGAGGTGAACCAGGTGCCCAGTGCAGAGCTGGAGGGCACAGGAGGGTGCCCAGGAGACTCATGAAAGCTGGGCCTGGATCCTTCCTGGCCTCCTGAATGTGACAAAGGCCCAGGGCTTTGGGTGACACAACATGAGAACGTGGTGGCAGGGACTAGTGGAATCAAGGACGGCTTCTCGGAGTTGGTGACACTTGTGTTGGGCTTGCTGGAGTTTGCCAGGCTCTGTGTGAGGCACAGACATAGATTTGTAGGACAGTGACTGAAAACTCAGTTTGGATCCTGAATGTCACCAAATGTCACCTGTAGGGAGGACGAATGGGAAGACAGGAAGCCCCTGGGGCACGGCCTTGGAGGGGATATTGGAACTCTGCCCCTTCCTGGCTTTCTCCTCAATGCCGGCTACATATGCTGAGCAGGCCCAGCGCTCCACTGTGATTGCTGCTCCCCACAGGTCCAAAGCAAGGAGATGGAGTGACCATAGATCGAGGTCCTGAATCTCAGAGCCAGCGTAACCCTTTCCTGCTCAAAAGTGGATGGTTTCAGGGACTTCGTTACAACAACAGCTGGCTGACACAGTGACTACCGGGGGCCTAGACTCATGTGGGACTCAGGTCTCAGACATAGTGCCCCAGATGCTTGAATTTCAGGACCACCGTATGACCTGACTAAACCCCTGCGAGGTGTTCATGCTCTCAATTTAGCTGCTCTACACTGTGCACGCCTGTACTTCATGATGGTGTGGCATGCTGGTAGATACACACAATTTTACCTGTGGGCCAAAACATAAAATGCTACAAAAGGCCATCAGAGCGGGTGGGATATGATCCCAGCACTTAGGAAGCCATGACAGGAGGAGCACGTTGCGTCCAGGACCAGCCTGGGCTGCACTGTGATTTCAAGTTCAGCCTGAACTACCGATCAAGACCTGGTCTCAAAAAATAAAACAAAACATCCCAGCAGGTGGGCAGGTATCAGCCAAGGCTTCCCATGCACCCTCAGAGGTGGCCTTGTGGGACAGTCCTGGCGATTGTCCTCAGATTGACCCTTACCTTAGCCTAGGCCACTCAGGCGCCAAGTAACAGGCCAGGACTCGAGGAACTGACCACACCGTTTAACCCTGGGCTGGTCTACAGAGGGCGGCTGAGGCGACCACAAAGAAATGCCAGCCAGTGGGGCTCCAAGCCCCTGGGGCCAGTGGGAGCTGCTGTGGAGAAGGCACTCAGTGACTCTGAGACTTGGGTGAGTCCTGCCCCACTCTGGCCTCAGTTTCCCTGTCTGTAAAGTGAGTGGTGATCTTCTTGTCCATCTCAGGCGAGCTGGGAGCACAGGACTTGGAGTACGCCCAGTGCCCTGCTCTGTAGCTGCCACACCACTGTGTTCTGCTTGTACCCTGGGACCTGGTACTGTTTACCAGGCCTCTGATGGCAGACCCTTAACCCATCTCATTGCACAACGTGGATCCCGGTCAAAGGAGCCTTTGCACCAGAGCTAGGTCCCCTGGGTCCCCGTGGCCTTATCCTGAGATGCTGAGCTCCCAGCATGTGGTAATACTGCCTCCCATGTGGGGCCACCTCCCTGTGCCTGTGTAGGGATTACTAAACAGGACCAGGGAGCTCATGCCAGGGCCAGGACAGCCAGGTCCCATGCCCCAGCCACCAGTCCTGCCACCCCTGCCACCTGTTCCCTTCACCCAGAGAGACCTGTGGGGATCTGGGCCCCACAATCTAGTATCACCACAGCGGGGATAGCTCATCCCCTCTCTGAGCCACAGGGCTGTCCTCTGTACCCAGGCCACTCGAGGATATTGTGGGGTGCAGGCTCTAGCCAAAGGGGTACTGGGTACTGCCAATGTCCCAGCGGTCTGGGGGAGCCCTTTTCTGCCTGGACTTCAGGTTTCACACCAGGCATAAGACCGATGGTCTCTGGAGATCTTTGTAGCTCTCGGTATACTCTGCCTGTGCAGAGCTGAGGTGCACGTTGGGTGGTGTTGGCCACCCAGCAGACTGCCACCCTGAAGCGCTAATGCCCACACATGCCAGGTGTTGATGACACTGGGGTGGTGGCCCACCTCCAACATGGCCTGCTGGATGTCCCCATGCATACATTTGTGTGCATAGCTGTCCACTGCAATCTTGTAGAAATGACAAACAGGACTTCTGGCCTAGGTCAGAGGAGGCTTTGCAGCCTCTGCCCCGCTCTTCCAGGTTTTTGCTTTGGGACTCAAGCCCCTCACACTGGCAGAAGCCACCCTTGGAGCTGCACCACAGCCACCTGGTCCCTTGATACCACTCTAGGGGAGGGAGCTGCCCTTGGCGGGGACCCATGCAGGGAGGTCTGCACTGCCATGTCACACAGTACCCTGGGCAGACACTGGGACGGCAGCAGAGGAGACAGATTCTCTCCCAGATCCAGAGGCCATGTCCGAGATGTAGACAGCAGGCTGCCTCTGGAGAGGCCGCTCCATGAATGGCAGATGGCCTGGACACATGCTGGTGACCAGCATTTCATCCTCCTGGGGTAAGGACGCTTGGCCTTTGGGCTCATGATCATCTCCACGGCCTCACTGCACCTAACTGCCTCCTTGAAGAGCCTGCCTCTAATCTGCTCATGCTGGGAATTCGAGCAGATGCCAGCACACAGCTGCACACGTGAGCTGTCTTGGTGGAGACCCTGCAGCCCAGTACAACCTTCAGATGATGCAGATGGTACAGATGGTGCAGATGGTGCAGATGGTGCAGATGGTGCAGATGGTGCAAATAGTGCAATCTTGTTTTCTCTTTTTCCCTTCCTCCCTCCTTCCTTCCTTCTTTCTTTGAGACAAGGTCTTACTATGTTGCCAGGTTGGTTTTGAACTCTTGGACCAAAATGATCCTCCTGTCTCAGCCTCCCAGGCAGCCCAGACCATCAGAACATGTTGCCACCATGCCCAGTGCCAGCTCAGTTTTTGCTACAGCCTCATGAGACATTCGGAGACAAATCTGCCTGGGCAGACTCTGTGTGAGGTGGAGTCTCTGTGGCAGCCCCCTCGGCCCAAGTTAACCCTGTGAGGGCACTAGAGTCAAGCCCTGACCTACGGCATGGGAAATGACTCTTAAACAATCTGGGGTGTTTTTACTGAGACAGCACCATTTTCTCCTCCTTTCCTGTCTCCCTCTCGACTGCCTCCTCCCATCTCCCACTCACTTCGTCAAATTCCTGTCTCAGGCTCTACCCCAGATGTTCCTATCCTAAGACTGATGGAATCAGATTCCGGGGCCACCCTAGGCTGAATGTAACTGTGAAAGCCCTAGGTTCCACCTCTACTGGTACAATAGGGGGAAGTCGCCCTGGGAGATCTGGGTTGTGTGCTGGGGTAGGACAGTCACAGGTCTAGCTCTGATGCCCAAAGGTTAGGGTGATTTGCGTGGCCCAGCTGTTTCCCTGTTTCTGTAGTTGGCCCACCCTGAGCAGCCACCTGGACTGGAATCTAGACACTGGGGCGCCCATGAGCGCCATAGGCGAGGTCGGGAGGTCGAGGGTTAACCTAGCCAGCCGGAGAAGCCGGGGACCGCGAGGTCCCGTAGGCACTTTCTCGGTCTTTCCGGAAGGCGGTCTGACACCCGAGGCCGCAGCGCGGGGGCGGGGCCTATCCGGAGGGCGGTTCCGGTTGGCGGAGCGCGGTGGGCGGGGCTGAGCGCGCGCGGCGGCTAGAAAGGAGGCGACGGCTGGCTGGCTGCAAAGCTGACTGACGGTGAGACGAGGCGCGGCGTCGAGCGTGGGACCGGGCTCCGCGAAGCGCGGGAAAGAGCCTTGGGCTGTAGGCCTTGGGGGCTTCGGTGTTCTCAGGAGTCGGCTTTTGCCGCGACCCCTCAAACCGAGTGGGGCCGGAAGTGGTGCGACAGACTCCTCGGACCGAGGCGCGGCCTCAGGTACCGCAGGGACCGAGTCCGTAGTTGGCCGGGGGACCCTGTTCTCCACCTTCGCACCCTGCGCGCCGTTAGGTTGGGGGCGAAGGCGGGAGCTCCGGGAAGTTTCCAAGGAACTGCGGAAGGGTTTCGGATCGGATCCCAGCGCGGGTGGCTGCTGGGTTAAGGGCACACACTTGTAATCCCAGCACTTGGGAGGTTGAGATGGGAGGATCACTGGGTGTTCGAGTTTAGCATAGTGAGTTTAAGGCCAGCCTGAACTGCATAGTGAAACTTTGTTTCAAAAGACAAGAAACAACCAAAAAACTTATGGGGACCTACAGTATCCAGCTACCAGCACAGGAAGCTGAGGCAGCAGGATCTCCGCCTGTCCAGGCCGACCTGGGTGCACAGCGGGACCCAGTGCAAAAACCACAAGATAAGGTCCTCACTTCGGAGGCCCGCGAGCGCGCTCTTCCCGGTGTTTGCTGATTGCAGGGCAAGCGCGACGACGATGTGCGGGCGGACATCCTGCCACCTGCCCAGGGAAGTGCTGGCCAGGGCCTGTGCCTACCGCGACCGCGGCGGCCTGCGGCGGCTCCCCGAATGGAGACAGCCTGAGAAGTACCACCCTTCCTACAACCAGAGCCCGCAGAGCTGCAACCCGGTGCTGCTGTCGCGCCTGCACCTGGAAAAGGTAACGTTCTCTAGGGCCGTCCTGGCCTGTGGGTCGGGTGTGCCCAGCCTCCGGCTGGCCCGGATCCCGCCCCACTTGAGAGCTACTAACCCTGAGCCCCGCAGAAAGAAGGTTTATTCTTGTTTTGTAAGTTGAGATGACTCCTTCCATGTTCTTTGGCCATTGTATTTTTTTATTTTAATTTTTAATTTTTTATTTATTTTTTTGCCTTTTTGAAACAGGGACTCACTATGCAGTTCAGGATGATCTTGAGCTCACTTTGTAGCCCAGGCTGGTATCGAACTTGATTGAAACGATCCTCTGCTTCAGCCTCCAGAGTGCTTCGATTACAGGTGTGAGCCACCATGCCCGGCCAATTTTTATTTTATATATATATATATATATATATTTTTTTTTTTTTTTTTTTTTTTCTGTAGTTGCTGTACCAGCCTTAATTTGTGCCCAGTTTATGAGCCTTGAATTTGAATTGTTTTAAGGCAGCAGATTTCAGACCTCACTTATCAGGGTCATTTGAGTATCTTTTTAAAATTTCCCCCAGCACTTGGGATGCTGAGATAGAAGGATCACAATGAGTTCGAGACCAGACCTTTTCTCCAAAAAATATTTTTTCGGGGCTGGGGATTTAGCTCAGCGGCATAAGCACCTGCCTTGCAAGCAGGCATTTGTGAGTTTGATTCCCGGTACCAATAAAAAAGGAAAAGACCAAAAAAAAACCACAAAAAATATTTTTTCTGTACCCCTTTAACCAAGCCAGCTGACTCACCCCTAGGGCAGACTTATAATGAACTAATTTAGCTGGAGTGGTGGCACACATTTGTCATTCCAGCTACTCTGGAGGCTGAGGCAGGAGGATTACTAGTTCCATGGCAGCCTGGACTACATTAGTAAATTTGAAGTCAGTTTGGATTACATAGCAAGACCAAGATGCTGCTTCAGAAAACCAAAATGGGGAAACAAATAAAAGAACAGCTAATTTAAAGCACTTCTGATTTTTCTTAAGCCTTGAAAGTTTTCTGTTCTTTTTTTTGTGTTGTCAGTCGTTTTGTTTTTTACTAAAGCTAGAAACATACGTATTTGGTTTTGTTACTTGAAGAATTTTTTTCTTCTTAGATACTAGGGATTAACGCCCCCAGGCCCTCACATTAAGGTACATTCTCAGCCCTTTATTTTGAGAAAGGCTCTTGCTAAACTGACCAAGCTGGGCTCAAGCAGAGAACGTGGATAACACCCCAAATGTGGGTACTATAGGTGTGCAGCACACTTGACTTAGTTATTGGTAATTTATTGTGTTCATAGTGTTGCAGTGTCGATTAATTACTTCTTTTAAGGGGGAAAGGTTTATTTAGCTACAGTTTGTAGAGGTTTTAGACCATAAGCAGCTGGCTCCAAGGTAGGGTGGCAAGGGGGCAAAAGTTCCTGGTGATGCAAGACTGCAAAAGTGGAGTGGGGGGAGAGAGAGAGTCAATTTGTAATGAAGTTTTAAGTTCTTTTTCTTCTGTTCCAAAAAGCAAGTTTCTCTACATCATAAATATTTTAAATGCTTTTGATAACATCTTAAAATGTCATGATTAGGGTGAGGAATGATAGTGCACACCTGTAATCTCAGATACTGGGAATACTGAGGCAGGAGGATGGCCAAGGCCAGTTTAGCCACTTGGCAAGACCTGGTCCCCAGAAATAAAAAGGGACTAGGATGTAGCTCAGTACAAAAGCACTGGGTTCCATTCTCCCCCTTCTGCCCCCTTGCCACCCTACCTTGGAGCCAGCTGCTTATGGTGCAAAAATAAGTGGAAGTTTTAAAAATTATCTTTAGGGGCTGGGGATTTAGCTCAGCGGCATAAGCGCCTGCCTTACAAGCAGGCAGTCGTGAGTTCGATCCCTGGTACCAATAAAAAAAAAAAATTATCTTTAACATTTGCTGTTGTTTCTCAATTTGATAAATATTTGATACCTCATTTTTCTCAAATGTGTAAATTTTAAGGCAAAATTAGAAGCGTTACAACTCATCCAAATTCTTAACGCCCACTCAGGTTGTAGTATTTGCATTTGAAACCACTAATTTGCAGTTGGTTACTTTTTTCTTTATCTGCCCCAGTGCTCCCAACTGTTGCCCTCCCTGTCCAAAAAGGGGAGGCAAGATGACTGATACCGAGAAGTATTTTTAGTATTTTGGTTTTTCACTCACTGAATTCATTGCCCTCATGATTGAGTTTGGTTTGCAGTTGCCCAGTGAACACGTTCAAGTCGGAGGTGACAGCAGAATTTGTGAGGACCAGGTTTCTCAGCTTAGGTAGGCACTGTCAAAATATGAGTGCAGGATAATTCTTTGATATGGGGAGCTGTGCTGTACTGTTGTAGGATATTTAGCAGCACCCCTCACCTCTACCCCCCGGGTACTAGTAGCACCACAAGTCACTACTAGAAGTGTCCCTTGGCATTGGCATAAGTCTCCGTGGTGGAATGGAATTGTCCTATTGATATAGAGGAATAAAACTCCCAACCTGCTAAATGTCCAGTATAAGTTTGTATTCTCTAAAATTGAGGAATAAATTTTAGGAACAACAGAGGTTAAGAACAGAATATTTTTATTGAGAGACAGAAGGGATCCTGAGTGGGTTCCTGAAGACCCTGCCTTTTGTAGGGATTTTTACAGAGCAAAACCACAAGGTGAGGTGGGTCCAACGTGGGAAAAATGGGAACTGCCACGGTGGGCATGAGGTGGGACCGAACTGTGGTCAACCAATAAGATTATGAGTATAATCACTCAGGTAAAATTGATTAAATTGGAGTCACGTGGGAAACGGGTCACTAGAAGTGAGCATGAATACAGAACAAGGTCTTTCCTGTGGGGGTTCTGTTGGTAACTCCTTTTGGCTTTATCAAGGTGATGGATACCAATTCCTGATGTTTATCCTTAGGGTGTGGTTGCATTTGTTTTATCTCTTGTCTTAAGGTCTGGCGGACAATGGGAGGTGTCTGTCTCCTCACAGTGTAAGGTGTCTGATCTTTTGCACTGGCTCCTTCAAAGGCCTATCCCTATTAGACTGTTGCTCATTTAGCTGCCTATAAACGCTATTACTGGATGGGGTTGGAAGAGGGCCTCCCAAAATGGAGATGGAGACCTCAACTTGTCCCACTAAGTTCTTAGGGTTTTGTTTTGTTGTTTTTTGAGGCAAGGTCCTACTATGTAGTCCTGGCTGGGTTTTGTTTTTCTTTTTTTTTTCCCACAGCCATATGAAAGTCTTTATTTCTTAGTTTGTAACAAGGACATCTGTTATGAAAAAACTTTATTGTACTACTTCTGGAAAACTTAACCTTTTGATGATTACCAATGTAAACTTAACACAGTAACTGTATTTTTTTTTTTTTGTCTTTTTGAGACAGGGTCTCGCCATGCAGTTCAGGATGGCCTTGAGCTCACTTTGTAGCCTAGGTTGGTCTCGAACTCGCAACGATCCTCCTGCCTCAGCCTCCCGAGTGCTGGGATTATGGCATGAGCCACCACGCCTGACTTCATAGTAACATTTTTAACAACATTTATTAAGGTGTCTCCCATAAAGCTATTGAGATTATCGGGACCTCCCATTAATGAACAAAGATGATAATGATTTTTCCCAGGCAACTGCTTCTTTATTCACCAAAAGGTAGTCCTATCCAATAGTATCTCCGTACCCCAAAGGATTTTTAATTATCTTTTTTATGTCCAAATTCAAATTACCTTTATTCAGATAGTTATACAGCTTCAAGAATATCATCTTATCTCTCCAAATTGTTTAATTATCTTAATAAATTTTTTGATGATTTATGGGAAACCCAATCACAACACTTAACACACTTTTTCTTTTTTTAATCGGTACTAGCGATCAAACTCACTACTGCCTGCTTGCAAGGCAGGTGCTTATGCCACTGAGCTAAATCCCCAGCCCCAAACACACCAAACACACTATTTTTGAACAAAGAGTTCTCCAGTGATGGTACATAAACAACAGTATACATTAACTTTACACAACCAATTATAGCATCATTTGACCAGCTGGCAACTCAGGTAGAAGCATGCTTTTGGCTCTATAACCCATATTAAGTTCTGAACAAATCCAAAAATGCAAAAGAAAAAAATATTTGAGCTCAAAAATCAGCTGATTATGGATATGACAAATCAAGAAACATACTTAGATGATCTGTACAGATTGGACAGACAGACAAACAGTTTAACAGACAAAACAAAATCAGAGTGCACTCAAATATATTTGGCTAATTTGAATTATGATGACTTTTATAGTTTTTACATTTGACAGTATAAGTAGACTAATCAGAACCTTTTTGTAGGTCAGTTAACAGATTGAGAATCAACTCCATGTGTGTGTGTGTGTGTGTGTGTGTGTGTGTGTGTTGTGTGTGTGTGTGTGTGAAGAGAATTATACATGCAAAACTACAGAGCCAGGTATGGTGGCACATTATAGGCTGAGGCAGGAGGATTACTTTGAATTCAAGGCCAGCCTGGAGTACATAATAAGACACACAGAGTAAATGAATGAATGAATAAACAGAAGCCCAACGTTTAGCATTAACCTTATTGTTGGTTTGGCTTGGTTGTTTTTGGTGGTGTTGGTTTTTTGTTTTATTTATTTATTTTTTGAGACAAGGCCTCAGTCTTCCAGACTGGCCTGGAATTTAGCCTCTTCTTCCCTCAGCCTCCTGATTCAGATTAGAAGTATGTATCACCATCTCCGCTTATCTTTTCCTTCAGGGAGACTAGGCAGAGTAAACCACTTTGTCCAATAGGAAAAAGTGTGAACCTTCTCAAAACTCGAGTTCCAAAATGCTAATGGAAGGTTAGCTTGTAAGTAGACCCTTCTAAAAGTAGCATCTTCTGGTCCGCAGTATTAACTCTTCTACACAAAACTACTTCTCAGTGCTTACTTTTTTCAGTTCTGGGGCTGGAACCCAGGGCTGTACATATCCAAGTAAGTGCTCTACCACTGAGCTGTCTCCCTAGATCCCTTTTTTAAAATTTTGAGTCATGGGTAACTTGTTAAGTTACCCATGATGGCCTCAAATTTGCCATTTTCTTGCCTGAACCTCCCACTAGTCAGGATTACAGGTCTGTCACCTAATTGCTTTTTTTTTTTTTTTGGTACTGGGGATCAAACTCGGACCTCATGCTTCCAGGCAGGAGTTTACCACCGGGCTAAATCCCTGGCCTGTTTTTTTGGTTCTGTTTTGGTCTTTGGGACAGGGTCTCACTATGCAGTTCAGGCTGGCCTTGAGCTTACTTTATAGCTCAGGCTGATCTCGAATTTGCAATGATCTTCCTGCATTAGCTTCCCAAGTGCCAGGATTACAGGTGTACGCCATCATGCCTAGTTTGTTTTTTTTTTTTTTTTTTTTTTTTTTTTTGGTACTAGAAATCAGACTCACAACCTCGTGTTTGCCAGGCAGGCACTTATACCACTGAGCTACTACAGGTGTTTTATTTATTTATTGTCTTTTTGAGACACAGTTTTGCTGTGTTGTTCAGGCTGGCATTGAGTTCACTTTGTAGCCCAGGCTGGACTCATTCACAGTGATCCCCTACCCTGGCCTCCCCAAATGCTAGGATTACAGGTGTGAGCCACTACATCCGTTTTTAACATGTGTTTTAAAAATGTTGGGACCAAGGTTGAAGATTTAGCTCAGCGGCATAAGCTCATGCCTGGCAAGTGTGAGGTCGTTAGTTCAATCCCCTGAACCCCCCCCCCCAAATGGGGCCACATGAAATCTGTCTATCCCAAAGGTACAGATTAAAAAAAATATGGTAAGTAATGATTCAAATATATAAAAGTATGTGGTAATCATGATTCCCCATTATGTGGCCTTGAAGCCTTATAAAGTTTTTATTTACTAATTGGAAAGGCTTTATTCTGGGCTTCTTGATATGGAAATATTTGAAGCTATAGTATATGAAGTTATATTCAAATATTTTAAGGAAAAAGACAGACACTATGATAACTACTATTAAGTCAGATTATTTGGTGGTGAAGCACTAGGTTGCTGAAACAGTTTTGCTTTGACCTGTATTGTTGTTATGTCCTCTTTTATCTCAATCTCTCCCTTATTCATTAAAAATTATTTAGTTATTTTTTATGGTTTTTTTAATTAAGGGGAAAAATTTTAAAAATTAGCAGGATATACTATAGTAACTTTTTTTGATTTCCTATTAACTTGTTTTGAAGTCCTGCAATACTCCCACTATCTTGTTTTGACTGATTAGACTCTGTTCCGTTCTGTATGATAGTATCAAGTTTGAGGGTATAGGCAACTACTTTGAAGGCAGTAAGACTCACTAAGATGCCCATTCTGGTTTGACTGTTATCTCCTTTGGAAGTCCTGTAATGTTTACAATGTTTAAGTTTTATTTGTCTTGTTCTCTACTGTTTTGTTCAACTTTATAATACCTGATGAGATAGACAATTCTTTTTAAGGAAGCAAGAGGCATTATGGTAACCATTGTTGATAACCTTGTACTCTGTTTTTACATCATGTAGTATGTCTATCCTTGGTTTTGACTGACAGCTTTGTTTTGCCATATTTGACTTTATTCTCTTCCAAAAAAAAGTAATAAGAACTAAGGAGTAATAAAACCCAAAATGTGTAAATTTTGTTGTAAAAAAGAGAGGGAAAAAAAGTGTTCTAAAGGATACAACTGCAAGTGTGTTTAGGGGTGTTAAATAGCTGACCATATTAATGTTTTTGGTTGGATCATTGAACACAACCGTTTGCAGTCTCTCTGTTTGAATGTTCACTTTGTGTGCTTTGATACTATGACTTGAGCAACTATCTCTATGATGATAATGTGTGATCTATTAACTGGTGATTTCTTACTGTGTTTTGTTTTTTTTGTTTTTTTTTTTTTTTTGTAGTTCTGTATTACTTGTACCCTTACACCGCTTTGTTTTGTTTTGTGTTTTTCTCTTTTTCCTTTTAAATAAAATTTTTTAAAAAATATGGTAAATTCAAAACTCTTTGTGTCCCCTCCCTAACGCAACTCAAATCGTCTGTGTCATGTGAGCCATTTCAGTGTTTTAAAGTAGACTTTTTTTTGCAAAATTGTGTGCTGTTTGTCTTTTCATGCTAATGTTAATATAACATACATGTCTGTTTGGTATTTCAGATTTTATTGTATCTCACTGCTCTTAACCTTTTTCTATGGCAGGATGCAGACTCATCAGAACAGATCATTGCTCCCATGAGATGGGGCCTGGTCCCCTCTTGGTTCAAAGAAAGTGACCCTTCCAAGCTGCAATTCAACACCATCAACTGTCGCAGTGATACCATCCTGGAGAAACGGTCGTTCAAGGTAGGTCACTGGTCTAGAGAAAAGGCACATGCTCTGTTTTCTGACAGCTGTTTAGTGCCTTGTATAACTGAGAAATAAAATAAGGTTCCAAACTGTTAATGTTGACTGAATGTGGTAATTCATGTCTATAATCCAGCACTTGGTAGGCTGAGGCAGGCGGGTTGCCCTGAGTTTGAAGTCAGCCTGGGCTACATAGTGAGACCCTGTCTCCAAAAAGAAAAAGAAAAGAAAAAGAAAAAAAGCCAAATTGTTTATGTTGAGTGCTGTAAAATAGTGGGTTTTTTGTTTCATCTTGTTTTGGTGTTTTTGTAGTACTGGGAACTGAATCTAAGGCCTTCAGTGAACTACATCTTTTACATTTTTTTAGTTTAAGACAGGGCCTTGTTAAGTTGCCCCGGCTAAGATTCAAACTCTCAGTCCTCCTGCTTCACAGAGTGCTGGAATTACAGGGATTATGGCATGCACCACCACCTGTGCTAATGTAGTCACTTAACATAAGTGTTTCTTTTGTATTGTGTGGACTTACTTATAATCAGGGGATAGCTGGGAATGGATGTCCACCTGCCATCTCAGCTGGGAAGGTATATTAGTTACTTTCTTGTTGCTGAGACAAAATACGCAACACCTAAAGTTAAAGTGGGGGAGGGTTTTTTAACTCACAGTTTGTAGAGATTTCAGCCCATAATCTACTGGCTCCAAGGCAGGGGTGGTTTGGCAGAAGGACATCACAGAGGAGAACCAGTTCATGGCAGACAGAAAGGAGCAAAACAAGCAAGAGGCCTCGACAGTGTCTTTTGGCCCCTTTTATCTTATCCAGTCTACTTAAAGTAGGTAGCACTCATACCCTTAACCTTAGTACCCTTGAGCTTTGTACTATGAATCAATTTCAAGATCACACACTCTATATCCAACCACCTCTAAAAAATCTGCCTGTATGACCCCATGAGGCTTTAGGGAGACATCTAGATACAAGCCATAACAGGGTTAGAGCTAAAATATCTGGAAGCCTTCCCCATTCCTAGCTTGAGGGTATGGAGTACTCAGGCACTGACACAGCAGCTCCTGGAGCACAGAGCTCACGACTCAAGGCAGGATAAATGCTGTTGTCCTCCCTGCGTAGTATACCAGGGGACTGTGTGGCTGTGGGTACCAGGAAGCATATGTGGTTAACTGGGGGCCAACATTAGAGACCAGCTACTATGCGTACCTACTTACTAAAAAAAAGCTACTTCTTTTATGTACTTTTCAGCATCAGTGTATTGGAATGGTGACTTTATGCATAAGTAAGGCAGACTCGGTGGCTTAGACCTATAATACCAGCTACTTGGGAGGCTGAGGCAAGAGGATTACTATGTTTTCTTTTTTTTGTCTTTTTCCCTTTTTATCGGTACCAGGGATCGAACTCATGACTGCCTGCTTGCAAGGCAGGCGCTTATGCCGCTGAGCTAAATCCCCAGCCCCTGAGGATTACTATGTTGTAGCCCAGCCTGGGCAACTTTGTAAGAGTGTTTCAGAATGAAAAGGACTAGGGTAGCTTGGTGATAGAGTGCCTGCCTAGCACATGTAAAGCCTGGGCTCCATCCTCACGACTACAAAGAAAACAAAAAAGTGAGATACAGAGAACTCTGTAAATGTCTTCTCCTGGTTCATACGGTGACTGAAATTTTAACTTGGTGCTATCTCTGAAACATGACTGTGTCATGCTCACTTTTCTCTAAGGTGCCGCTGGGAAAGGGAAGACGCTGTGTTGTCTTAGCAGATGGATTCTATGAGTGGCAACGATGTCATGGAACAAGCCAGCCACAACCATACTTCATCTATTTTCCTCAGACTGAGACAAAGCAGGTATCTGCAGCTGTCTGCAGTATACTGTAGGAAGGACAGGGACAAGTCAAGATCCTGTACCACATGACGATACTTCCTTCAGTGATGGCCATGTGCGATAGTGCTGTACCATGTAGCCTGGTGCAGAGCAGGCTCTGCTGTTTACACTGTGGTGGTCAACGCTGTGCTGAAATTGCCTGGGATGCATTTCCTAAAAGGGTCCAGCAGTGATACTTGGCAGTGACCCAAAGGACATTTTTTCCTTCCCTCATGGAGGTTGGTTTGTATTGTTTTGTTTTAAGCAACAGCTTTATTGAGATTTTTAAAAAAGGGGGCTGTGTTGAAGTGTTTAAATCATTTATTACAGTGAAAGACACATTGCCATCAGTCCCCCTCAGAATACTACTTTCTCTTTTTTTTTTTTTTTTTTTTTTTTGTCTTTTTCCTTTTTATCGGTACCGGGGATCGAACTCACGACTGCCTGCTTGCAGGGCAGATGCTTATGCCGCTGAGCTAAATCTCCAGCCCCCGAATACTACTTTCTCAATTCTAACACTTTATGAAGCAGTTTCCAAGTCCTTTTTCATGTCTTTAATTACATTGTCGTGGTGCCTTGATGACCTCAATTGACTCAAACCATTTACCTTTCGTGGTGATTTTGGCTTTGGAGAAGAGCCAGAAATGTCATAGTGCCAGATCCAGTGAATAAGGTAGAGAAAGACACACTGTCATGTTTTTGCAAATAAACCTTTTCATTGAACGGCACTTGGCAGCAGAATTCACTATGCTTTTGATCATGCCAAAAGCTGACCTTGATCTTACTATGTAGCCCACGATAGCCTCAAACTTGTGATTCTCCTGCTTTAGCCTCCTCAGGTCTGGTGTTACAGGTACGTGCCACTATGCTCAATTTATTTCAATCTGTCATTCTTTCTTTCTGTCCTTTTTCTGTCTATCTTTTTTTCTCCTTTCTGTGCTAGAAATTGAACTGTCAGGGCATTTGTACATGTAACATCCCACCTTTTTTTGGAGATAGGCTCTTGCTAAGTTCCCCATGCTAAGCTCAAACTTGGATCCTCCTGCCTCAGCCTCCTAGAGTTCTGGTATTACAGGCATGTGCCAGCACACCTGTTGTTGTTTTGATGCTGTGCTTTTTTGTTTGTTTGTTTGTTTGTTTTTAGTAAAAGCTGAGGACCAAACTCACAACCTGATATTTGGTACACCACTCAGCTATACCCTTATCCCTGGAATTCTAATTCTACAAGGGTTGGGTGGTTTGATATTGTCCCATAGTTCTTAGATGTTCCCTTCTGTGTTTTTTTTTCCAGTGATTCAGTTTGGACAATTTTCATTGACTTGTGTTCAGTTTATTGTTTTGTTCTTTTTCAGTAGTAGGGATGGTATCTATGCAATGAGGCACATCCCTTTTATTATTTGAGGCAGGATCTTGTTAAGTTACTAATTTGCGCAGAATGGTCTCAAACTTTGGATTGTTCTGCCTCAGCCTCCCAGGGTACTGGTATTAAAGGTGTGCCTTACTGTGTCCAGCCTTGATAGTTTTTGGTTATTGTCAGGCATAACATGTAAAACAGAAACTGAAGTAAATAATACTTCTGGCAATTCTTCCATTAAGCTTTTACTATGCCAGTCCAGTCGGGGGACTGTCGTGGCCTTTGACTGAAATCATGCTTCCCTTGTCACCCTTCTTCTGGTTCTCCAGTGGTATGTAGTGCTTTGGCAAGAGTGAGTGCAGAAGGTTGTTGCCGTGGTACTGCTGTGGCTGTGGACTCCCTGGAAGCCTGGGCCTTGGCGAGGTCTCTGCTCTTACTCTGCCTGTGTGTCACTTGTGCTTGCCGAGCTGCAGGGTGGCAGTGGTTCTTTGTCACAGTTTGGCCCACAGGCCGTCAGTCTCTGGCTTTCCCAGTCTGCCTCACCCTTTTCCTGAGGTTGCTCATTGCCTCACAGGCCCTCCTGCTCCCAGGGCCCTGCAGCGTGTTCCTTTTGTATGTCCTTCTGCAGAGGAGCACCTCCCATGCCCGCCCATGCCTCCTGCCTCCCCTGCCTTCCTCGGGTGCGTGGGGAGCCCATGGCAGCAGCCTGTGGGTTGCCTGCTCTGCTGTCACATGTGGTTGTAATTACATCTGAATCTTTGCTGCTACCCAAAGTTGCTGCGTCCCACCTTTCACCACCGTCAGCTAATGTCTGTTCCTGCTCCCATCCAGCTCCCGCCTTTGCTTACATTTAGCCTTCCTGGTTGCCTGGCAACCTCGGCTCTCTGTTAAGGTTGAGAGAAAGCATAGGTATGTAAATTCTGTAGCTTTTTTCCTTACTGTTAAGGTGAAAAGAGGTGCTTTTCGTTGCTTTCTGTATTGCAGATCTTAAACAGAATCCTGTACCTTAAGTAGAAGCAGTGTGATGAGAAGGAAAGTCAGGATGGCTGAGGAGGTTACCCCAGCAAGTGGGCAACCAGATTGCATGGGTCATTAGGTTAGGACAGCCAGCTGGTGCAGGTAAACAGTGTGAAGCTTGATGGCACACACTCACCGGTATGCCTATGCCACCATGAAAACAAACACCCAACCAAATGGTGTACATGGCAGCCACAGCAGCCTACATGTCGAGCAGAAGGAGTTTTATGCCACCAAGCCTCCTTCTCTTGCAGGCAGTGAGTGGGTCAAGGGATTAATGGTGATGGCAGAGTCGCCCCTGTGATGATCCCCATGCTGTCCAGTATGAGGCATGCCCAGCCTTTGCAAAAAGCTCATTTGCCTCTTTTGCTTGCAGCTAGGCAACAGTGGGACTGTGGACAATACAGAGGACTGGGAAAAAGTCTGGGACCACTGGAGGCCGCTGACAATGGCAGGGATCTTTGACTGCTGGGAGCCCCCCGAGGGAGGAGACCTGCTGTATTCCTACACCATCATTACCGTGGATTCCTGCAAAAGCTTGCATGATATCCACCACAGGCAAGCTTTTCTGTGTCTAGTTCTGGGCATCAATCCCAGCCAGTTTTTCCTTGTTGTATTTTGAGACAAGTTCTCACTAAGTTGCCCATGCTAACCTTGAATTCATGATCTTCCTGCCTCAGCCTCCTGGGCAGCTCACATTATAGGTGTGCATCACCATGCTTGGCTAAAGTCACACTTACTATCCCTGGATCCAAAAGAATGCAGATGAAAGTCTGTCCTTTGTGCTTTTGGGTAGGTAGTTTTAAAAACTAGCTAGGGGCAGTGATGCACACCTATAATCAATCCCAGCATTTAGGAGACTGAGGCAGGAGGATTATTGCGAGCTCAAGGCAAGCGTAAGCTGCATAGTGAGCCACATCTCCAAAAAGAAAAAGAAAAAGCTGTCTTTCAAATACTTATATTCAATTTAGATATAACATGACATGCATTCTTAAAAATCATCACACTGCAAAACTAGAGTCAAAATCACATGAAATCCATTGAGATTTCAGACATTTTAAAATAATTTTAGGCCCACGGCTGGGCGTGATGGCACGTGCCTGTAATCCCAGCACTTGGGAGGCTGCAGCAGAAAGATTGTCAAAAATTCAAGACCAGCCTGGGTTACCAAGTGAGCTTAAGGCCAGCCTGAATTGCATAGTGACACCCTGTTTCAAAAAGAAAAGAAAAAAAAGTTTAGGCCTTGGAGTTTTAATTCAGTTGTAGGGCATATGTTTAGTATTCATTAGGCCTTGAGTTTAAAAAATAAATAGTCAAGTGTGGTGGCTCATGCCTGTCACCCTAATACTTGGAAGGTTGAGGCAGGAGAATTGCTTGCAAGTTCAAGGCCAGCTGGGGCTACCCCATGAGACCCTCTTCCAAAAAAACTGAATATTTGATCCAATGTATAGCCTCATCCATTTAATTTCTAGATGACTAGAAATTTTTTATATATTTTTTGTGTGTGATGCTGGGATGAAACCACTTACGTGCTTTTTCCTGTGCCCCGGTGGTACCAAGGCCTGGCTCGATGGCCCAATAATGCTAGACAGGGGCTTTGCCACTGCACTGCATCCCAGCCCCAACCCTGGAAATTCCTGAGGGTAGTTTCCATCCGTGCTGCAGCTTCTGATAGCAGAAGGCACCAAGCCACAACACTTGCATTCAAAGAAGCCAGTTCAGAGTGTTTAAGGTCTTCATGTATAAATAGTGCTCTTTCCTTGTAAGAAAAGCTTTTTTCTTTGTTAAAGAATGTTTCCTTGGCTTCTGCTCCTTAGGCCTTGTCAGCACTTCACACTACTTCTTGGAATTGCTCCAGCCATAGATATTTCTTCTATTTTTGCAGTGTTGTGGCTGCTGTGGATTCCTTTTATCTGTTGCTCTGGAGATAATTACATGTTCTTGTTTTTTCTTTGAAGATGCTTTGTTATTTCAAGTTCCTCAGTATTTAAAATGTTTCTGTTTGCTCTCCATGCACTGCCCACCTCTGTTCTGAGCCAGGCAGCTGAGCTGCTTTGGAGAAGTGAAATGGGTGCTTGAAATATACACACAGGAAGTTCCCAGGCACTGAAGGATAGAGCTCAGCCTGGAGACCTTCCTTGCAAGCGCAGGTAGCTTGTATGCATGCATTTCGTGCCCTTCTCAGGCTCTCCACAGAAACAGTTTCCTGTGTTCAACTCCGTTTGCACACATGAAATGCAGCGGAAGCAAATGCAGAATTTGCATTTTGCTCCATTTGCTTCTTGACACATCAGTCACACTGAAACAGGTTTGTAGTTTAAAAACAAGCACTGGCAGAACAGACTGTACTTGTATAACACCTTTATAGTTACTGCCAGATCTGAGTACACACTTATATACAGTTTTGCTGTTCTGTTGCAAAGATTGTTAATACTGTACCTACTAGGATTACCTGCCTTGTCCTGAGCTCTATGAAAATATGCTTTTGTGTGATATAGTTGTTTTAGTTTTTGTGTATTGAATTCAGGGCCTTCACGTCGAGCTATCTGTACATATATATACACACACACACACATACACAGCCATTTTTGTTTTTAATTTTCAGACAGCGCCATTAAGTTTCTCAGGCTGGGCTTAAATTTGTGATCCTCCTGCCTCAGCCATGCAGAATGCTATAACATCGTTTTGTATGTTAAGTAAAACAGGCTGGGCATGGTAGCCTATATTTGGGAGGCTGAGGCTGGAAGGTTGCTGTGAGATCAAGGCCACCCTTGAACAGGATCATAGCAAGACCTTGTCATGTTCCCTCCCCCCCCCCCAAAAAAAAAAGAAAGGTAAAGCACTGTTGGTTGGGTTTGACGGCACATACCTGTAACCCCAGCACTCAGGAGGCCAGCCTGGGTTAGTGTGTTCAAGGCAAGTGCCTATCTCAAAAATACACTGCTAATTACTGTTAAGTAATCTATAATACAAGCAGAGATGCCATTTATCATAAAATACACTCAGGTTAAAAAGATTTTAAGGATTTCTTTTGAGCCAGGCTCTTACCCTGTACCGAGGCTGGCCTTAAACTCCGGAGCTCAAGCATTCTTCTGTCTCAGCCTTCCAAGTAGTTGGAACTACAGGCGAGTGCTGCTGTGTCCAGCTAGCCCTTTCTTACTATAGGCTTTCATGGGTCATGAGACCAGAGGTGATTGTTCATAGATAGTTTTCAAGGATCCCTTGTTCTTTGTTCTAGGCTGGGGACTGTAGGAAGCCCACCAGTTTATTAGCCTGAGCGCTAATGCACCAGTCCCAAGCATGGCCCTGTTCGCTTTTTCTGTGCAGCACAGAGAAGGGAGACACAGAGCATGGGTGTGGCCTCTGGGTAGCTGCTGTCAGCTGACTCAAGTCTGTATCTTTCTCTTGCCTCACTGTCTCTGCCCCAACATTCCAACTCATAGGATGCCTGCCATCCTGGATGGAGAGGAGGCCGTGTCCAGGTGGCTAGACTTTGGGGATATCCCTACTCAGGAGGCACTGAAGCTGATCCGCCCCACAGAGAACATCACCTTCCACGCTGTCTCCCCCATTGTCAACAACTCGAGGAACAACAGCCCTGAGTGTCTGACTCCTGTCCACTTGGTGGTCAAGAAGGTAGGGGCCTGTCATGTTGCCTTGTCTCTCAGCCTATGGCATTTCCTAGTCCCAGCTTTCACCCCCAGAAGCACTCTCTGCCTGGGCTAACCCACCTGTAATCAGCCACCACACTCTGGTGGCTGAGGCAGGAGGATCCCTGCAAGTTCCAGCCTAATCTGGACTGCATAGCAAGACTGTGCCTCAGAAAGTCCCCCACATACAAAAAGAAATTGCTTTGGAACTGGATGCAGGGCTGCACATCTGTCATCCCAGCTACCTGAGGGGCTGAGGCAGGAGGATAACTAGTGCAAACCCTGCTTGGGCAATTTAATGACTTAAGAGTCTTATCTCAAAATTTTAAAAACCTAGTTCAATTCCCAGCCAGAAAAATGGAAAAAAAAAGAAAGGAAACTGGAGGCATCCTTGGTGAACCTGGTAAACCAAATTCTCCTGAAGGTGATTGAGGAAGACACAAGCGTTCAGCCTGCTGATGTCCACTCTCAGGCCGCTGGTCTCTGCAGTCTCTTCTGTTACCTGCTTCAGCCACAAGGTGGAGAAGCACCCTGTTCCCTCTCAGTATTCACAGGACCCAGGGTGTGGGGAGGGAAAGTGGCTGGACGGGAGGCCTGCAGTGCAGACGAAGTTCCTAAGTTTAGTTAACTGACCCCATCGAGCCAGACATGGTGGTGCACACCTGATTGTTTCAGCCCTTGAGAGGCTGAGGCAGAAAGATGACCTTAAGTTCAAGGCCAGCCTGGATTACACAGCGAGATCCTGTGATGACCTGGAGAGTTCATGCTCAGAGCAGTGTCGGGACAAAAGCCACCAGGACAACCACCTTGTCCTGTTTCTCTTACAGTTGTTTTCCCCTTACCATAGGCACTGCCATCATTTTTCTTTTCTTTTTTTTTTTTTGTACTAAAAATCAAGACCTCACTCTTGCCAGGCAGGCACTGTGCCACTGAACTATATCCCCAGCCCTCATTTTTCTTTTGTCTCTGCAAACTCCTGTTACCCTGACATGTTTTTCACTCTAAAATGAAACATGTATATATCTTCATTTTGCATCAGACACTGCCCCATTTCCGTGTGGTCTTTACTCTGTGAAGGGCACATTGTGCTAATTCAGAATCTTTTTGCTCAGGGCTGGGCGGTGGGGACTGCAAGGGGCACAGAGGGTGTGGACTGCGAGTCCAACCTCATTTCCTAGCACTACGTGCTATTTCTGTTCTCTGCCATGCTCTGAGCCCCTCCAGTGCCTTCCTCCTCTTTTGGCTTCTAACTGAGTCAGCCCATTCAGGAGGCTGGAACTGGGTGCTATGAGCCTTTTTCTTTCGTAGGAGCCCAAGGCAAGTGGCAGCAGCCAAAAGATGATGCAGTGGCTAGCCACGAAGTCACCCAAAAAGGAAGACCAAGAGACACCCCAGAAGGACAAGTCCGACACACCCCAGTGGTCCAGCCAGTTCCTGCAGAAGAGCCCGCTGCCCGCCAAGAGAGGTGGTGCAGGCCTGCTGGTGCGATGGCTGAAGCAGGAAAAGGAGGAGGCGCCCGCGGCCAAGCGGCCTCACAGTCAGTAGGCAGCGTCCCTGACACAGACACTCGGGTGTGCGTGTGCGGGTGTGTGAGTGCGGGAGGAGGCAGCAGTGACTATGTACGTTATGTGCTCATGAGGAAAGTGCCCTGGCTTTGAACAGGGGGGCGACTGTGGTAAGTTGGAAAAGGGGCCACCTGCTATTGGACTACCCCGCCCTGCCACTGCCACAGGGCTCTTCCTTGCTGGCCATGGGAGCCAAAGTGTAACATGGGTTTGGCTTTGGTTTGGTTTTCTTAGAAGGGTGAAACGTTATTCTTCAGAAATGTCAAGAGACTAATGTAAGAAAAGAAAAGTGTTATTTTCCACTTGTCCTCAAAATAAGGAAGGCATACAATTGCTTTTTAAATTATGGAAACTGAAAGTTTAGCACTATCTTCCAAAGCGAACATCAACAAACATTTACTGTGTATTTTGCATTGGTTTGACTGGGCTTTCCCTGATGTGGTAAAAATATTTCTTCTGACCACATCACCAAAACTGTAAAAAGCAGGGAAAAATGAACTGGTGGCGGTGGCCGAGACCTGGGAGGATGCCACATGCAGTGGCCCTTTTCTGGGGATGTGTGGTGCCGTTTCCATGGCAGAAGTCATCCTCAAGTCCACATGTGCTACCCACTGTCTCACTCCGGCACTGCTTTGCTGTTGCCATGGGTGCACTGTGATGAGTTTTTATTTTTGAGGCTCACAAAAGGCGCTTGTTTATCTAGCACAAAGTATATACTGTCATAATCTTATTTGTTAACTCCTTTACTAAAATAGTTTAATGTTTTTAACCCATCAAAAAGCTCTGATCTCTGTGCCCAAGTCAAAGTAGTGTGCTAGAAGGCAGGAGCGGGCAGGGAGCAGCTACAGGTCTTAGCACCATCACCTTGTGCAGGAAAGAGTGATGCTGCCGGCCCAGAATGGACCAGGTGTTGCAATTTGTTTCCAAAAAGCAGCATAAATATTTCCTTCCACGGTATGACAAAATATGTATCTGTCATTCCACAGGTTTGTATTTACAATAATTCCTTTATAAAACAAGTTAGTAATAATGTATTTTGTTTGCTGTCAGGTTTCAAGGGGACGGGGGAAAAGTCACTTTTTTCTCCTTAAACACTGAAGTGTACCTATTAACTTTCAAATAAAAATGTGCCACCCTAAAAAAATGTGCTCAGCAGATTCTGACTCCAGGATAGGAAAGGCCACCAGTCTGGGGCTGGAAGGGCGACCTCTGTTCCAATAGAAACTGAAGTTTAAGTGAACATCCCTTTGAGTTGCCAGTACTGGGAATGAAGGGGCTTCTGTGAAAAGCCACTCCCACCCTTACATTCCCCGGGTCACCCAGTATCCCCTTAATTGCATGTCCCAGCATCTCCACACTGGATGGCCCATTGGTTGGGCTGTGACTCCGCAACTGCACTCAGGGTCAGAGTGGCTGCTGTGTTTGTTCCAAAGACATGAGATGTGACCATTACAGACACATCCTGTCCTAGACAGTTATTCCAAGGCAGTACTGGCTCTGTAGCAGGTGCCAGGGGTCCTAAAGGAAAGCTTCTTGGCCCCTCAGGTCCCTAGAGCTTTACAGCTCATTTCAGTGGCAGCCAAGCCATCCTGATTTCCATGAATTGCCAAGGCTGGCTGGACTCGCACCCACTGTGGGCTCATGGCCCTGTGGAGGCCATGTGACATGGCTATTCTGGCTGCCCACTTGGGCACATGACATCCAGTACCATGGCCAGCAGACTGGGAACTCACACCTGACTGACAGCAGTTCCCAGACAGCCCTGCAGAGGTCCTGGGCACACAGGCTGAGGGCCTTTTCTGAGAATGCGCAACCCAAGGGCACACTGGCAGGTGCAACATGATCACTCGGGATTGAGGGTCCCAGCTGAGGAACAGGAAAGCCACCTATCCTCATGAAATCCCCATCCTTTGCATGGGCCTGACATGAAGACTGTCTGTGGGCTCTTTAAATGTTTGCTACACGAAGCTAAGTAACATTAGGAGAGTGGGAGTAGCTGATGTCATGGAGACTGAACACAAGGTTCCAGGGGCTGCTACTGCAGTGTGAGCAGTGTCAGCAAGGTGGCCTGTCCCTCTCCCAGGACCAAGGTCTCACATAGAACGTGTCACCTGCCTCTCTGGCCCTGTCTTCCCGTTATCCCCTCTGGTTTACACATCCTTTTTAGCTCCCAAGTTGGGAAAAAAGACAGGCCATCTAGAGCTGGGTGACTTCAAACCATGAGTAGGGCCAAGAAGAACCTCAGGGACCCAAAAGGCACATCAAAAACTAACACTAGGATCAGCTTAACCTCTTTTCTTTGCCAGAGAACAGAAGTCTCACCATGCGCAGCCCCTGGAGCTCTGTCCTGTAACCCAGGGTACAGCCAGAGGGAGGCCCGCAGCTGACCACAGACCCTGCCATGGCCCAGCCTTCCCCAACCAGAAAGACGAGCCGTTCAGGCCAGGAACTCGGTCGGACCTTCTCATATTCCAGGAAACCACAGACAGGCTAGCAGTAGGGACCTAAAGAGAAGGCTATTCTGGCAAGGGGACTGGGGCTGGTACAGCGTGTTGGGGATGTTGGGGTAAACACTACAGACAAGCACCTGGCATTGTCTCCCAGATGGCAGTGGACTAATCTCCCAGCCAGCCTGGACCAAGTGGCTCCTTGTTCATGTCACAGAAGACAGATGCAGAGCCACCTGTGTCTGATGCAGGTGTTGGTGAGCAAGGTCTGAGGTAGGAACATCCAGGGGGGAAGACATGACAAGATGCCCTCCAGGGATGGAGGCACAGGCAGACCTGGCCTAGCATCCCCCGCTCATGACCAGGGTAGGGACTGTCCCGCCCACTGAGCTGCAGTCGCTTATCCTCCCAGGCTGCTAGTGTGTGAGACAGGAGATGGAGGGCTGGTGGTTGGTGTCCCCATGGAGCCAGGGCAACCAGGTCCTATATTCAACTCACCACAGGGAGACCCAGCCCAGCTGAGGTCCAGTAGCCATTGGAGGCCCTACAGTGGCCCTGGAGCTGGTTCCCAGGCAGGTAATTTTTTATTTTAAAGAGAATAAAACAAAAGAGAACAGAACAGAGTAAATCAGAATAAACAATGCAAGCAACACAGCACTTCACAACCAGACATCAATGGTAGCTACCATAATGTCTCTTTTCTTTGAAATAATTGAGCACACCTTCACATACATTAATATCAAACATAACAATATAGTATAAAATCATTCAAACAAATGAAAGCATCATAGGATTTCAAATAACAGGTAATGAACAATGGCTACTATAATATCTCATTTTCCTCAAAAAATTTGTACCATCACACGTAATAAAATCAAATAAACCACAACTGGATAGAACCAGTCAAAATAGAAGAACAAAAGCATGGTAGGACTTCAAAGCTAGATGATAGTAAATCAGCAATGGCTACCACAATGTCTTGTTTTCTTCAAAATAGCTATTCATACCATTACACATAATAAAATAAAAACAAAACTAATCAAATGAATGAAAGCATTATAAGATTTCAAGGCAATATAATAGGAAAACATGGTTACCATAATATATCCCATTGTGTTCAAAATAGCTGCCTCTACCATCTGACAGCACAGAATCTAACAAGCTAGAACAAAGCCAAACCTAACAAAATTGTGTAAACAATGCAAGAGTTGAAGATGAAATCCACAGTAGTTTTCACCCTTCCCTCCCTAGGTATTTCCTCCCCTTTGCTCTTACATTAACTATTTTGCTTTTGGATCCCATTAACTCCTCTTTGTTATGCTAGGGTTCACATGCATGAGCTCCAACTGTTTCGGCCATGAACATCCTCAATTGCGTCCATTTACCTACAGGAGCCTTGAGATTATTCTACTTTATAGCTGGGTAGCTTTCCACTGCATGAAAATACCATATCTTTCTTATCCATTCTGCGGTTGATGGGCAAGTTACTCTTGCTTTTTGTTTTGGGGGGGGGGGAGTGGGGGGGTCTCCTGTCACATGAAACAATTGTACAATTGTTTTCTCTCCTTTGATTTTCAGTCTATGAATTTCTTTTCCAGTTAAATGTTTCTTGTGTACAGTGGATCAATGGATCTTGTTTCTTTTCTTTTCTTTCTTTCTTTCTTTTTTTTGTACTGGGGATCAGAACTCATGACCTTGTGCTGGATCGTGTTTCTTTTTTTGTTGTTGTTGTTTTTGAGACAGGGTCCCACTGTGCAGTTTAGGCTGGTCTTGAGCTCACTTTGTAGTGTAGGCTGGTCCTGAACTTGCAAGTATCCTCCTGCCTCTCAGCCTCCCAAGTACTAGGATTATAGGTGTGCACCACCACCTGTCTCCAACATTCCCAAGTTTATGAAATGCATCCATTTGCAGATTCAAGAAGCTTGATAACTTCTAGTCAGGAGTAGTTCAAGGGAAAATACAGAAAGATACCATGTACAAACTGATGGAATCCAAAGATAAAGAGAACACCTTGACTACAGCAGAAGTGAAACATACACAGACAACTGAGAAACAGTTATATACTTCCCACTATAAAATAATGAAACAGGGGCTGGGGATTTAGCTCAGGGGCATAAGCGCCTGCCTTGCAAGCAGGCAGTCGTGAGCTCGATCCCTGGTACCGATAAAAAGGAAAAAGACCAAAAAAAAAAAAAAAAAAGAAACAATATCGTGAAAATCTTACATGAGAATATCCTTTTATCCAGAACTCCATATCCAATGTATTAGTCAGAAATGTATCTTATTATCACATAAAAATATCAATAAAAGGGTGTTTCCATATCACAAATCTTTCTTTTTGTCAGGTGTTTTCGTGAATTACATCATTCTAGAATAAAACAGAATGATATAATTCATGAAAACACCTGACAAAATAATTTGTAAGTATGCACGAATGAATGACTGTTGAATTTAATATTTATAAATCATCTATGAAATAGTCACTTAGAATATATATCACTGATAAAACAAGTCTCAATTTGAAATCTTACTATGTGTTCTCTGTCCAAAATGGAATTAAAAATGAAAGAAATCCAGAGCATCTCAACTACTTAAAAATTAAATTTCATAGTCTTCCCTAATCCACCATTTTGCTCTACACATTTTGTTGTAGGAGATGAACCTTGATGTATCACCAGAAAGTGAGTATTGGACTGACTTCTTATAGCATATGCATTGCATGATCTATCATCACAAGAGTGAATTCAGTACAGTTACTTTGAATGAGGTATATCTCAATGTACTGTTCTTTGAAAGTCACAGAGATAATGTTTACATAATTTTGCTGCAGCATAACTTCAACCTTATTGGTTTTGTTAATGTCTTACTGTAACTAATTACAGTGTAATCTCTGCCATATGTATATATAGAATTGGATTCCCATATAGTTTTTTTGTTTTGTTTTGTTTTGGTCTTTTTCCTTTTTATCGGTACCAGGGATCGAACTCACGACTGCCTGCTTGCAAGGCAGGCGTTTATGCCGCTGAGCTAAATCCCCAGCCCCACCCATATAGTTTTTAATACTGTTCCTGGTTTCAGCATCTATTGGGTATACCTTGAACTATATCACCCATGGAGTGTTGGGTACTTATGTAATATATTTCTAAATTATATAGAAAAAATTCATTAAGGGAAAATAGACTATGTTGAACAAAATCAATTGTAAGAAAAATATTTGCATGACTCACATTTTTATAAATTTTCTTATTGCCTTGACTTTGATGTGGTGATTACTCCCATTGAATATGGACTGTCCTTAACCATTTGCTCATCTAATACATCTTGGAATACTCATATTAGAGACAGAAAATAACACAATTTAAAACAATAGTGAAGCTGAGCACTTGGGGAGCTGAGGCAGGAGGGTTGCCATGATTTCAAGGTCAGCTTGGGCTACATAGTGAGTTCAAGGCCAGTCTGAACTACATAGCAAAACCTATTTCAAAAAAAATTGAAATATTAACTGCATATTTGTTTCTAAATAAATATATAGCTGGGAATGTGTCTCAGTGGTAAAGCTCTTACCTTGCATGCATAAAGCCCTGGGTTCACTCTCCAGCACCACAAAAAATAAAAGTTGTGATAGCTCGGACCCTGGAATAAAATCCAAGGAAGCAAGAAATTAAAATTTAGGGAGCAAAGGCTTTATTTTAGGCCA